AATAAATAAAAAATAAAATAAAATAAAATAAAATAAAATAAAATAAAATAAAATAAAATAAAATAAAATAAAATAAAATAAAATAAAATAAAATAAAATAAAATAAAATAAAATAAAATAAAATAAAATAAAATAAAATAAAATAAAATAAAATAAAATAAAATAAAATAAAATAAAATAAAATAAAATAAAATAAAATAAAATAAAATAAAATAAAATAAAATAAAATAAAATAAAATAAAATAAAATAAAATAAAACAATTAAATAAAATTTAAATAAATAAATAAAGTTAGTTTGTATTTCACAGGAACAGTGTCTGGCATCAGCAGTTCTGCATCAGCTCAGTCCCAGAGAAGCTGAACTCCTGAAAGACCCCAGTCTGAAGTGCAAGATCAGATTCAGGTAGATGAATGTCATACATAAGCTCTTCAAGCAGCATTATAAGGTTGTCCAGAAGCTATGAAGTCAGAAATTATGCAATAACAGCCCTGCTCCTTAACCAACACTGAAAAATATTCACTGGAACAAAATGTGGGACGACTAGCCCCGGTCTCCTGTTTATTTCATTTCTGTTCAGGCTTGCAGGTCCTTGGTTTCCACCCTCAGTTGTCTTCAATATTTTCCACATTGGAGGAGGAGGACACTATCTGTCTGGCAAAAAAGTATTTTCTCCCTCCAACCAGGTCATGAATGCTGCTCCAGTGTTATTTAAATATCACTGCGATACTAGTATAGTTTTTATTAATATTTCGAATTCGTTTTTATTTTGATATTTTACATTTTCGTTTTGATTCAGTTAAAATTTTAGTAATTTGGTTGTTTTTGTCATTTTTAGTATTTTTTTTTAAATTCTTTAAAATTCTAAAATTAAAAATTCTAGATTTTATTATTTTTTTATTTCAGTTTCAGTTTGTTGTTTATCAAGTTAAACTAAATTAAAATAAGACTTGTTGCCTAGTTTAAGTAAAAAAAGTAATTAATTTTTTTCCAAATATTTTTATTTTTTATTTTTAGTTAACTATAATAATCCTGTGCTGGTCTTGGATCAGATCAGTTTATACTGATGCATCCTAGTTTCAGTTTTAGTTATAGTTATTTATCAAGTCAACTAAATTAAAATGAGAAATGCTGCCTTGGCAACTAGTTTAAAAAAATTACAATATTTCATTTTTTAATATCATATTTAAATATTTTTACCGGTTATCATTTATTTTATTTCAAGTAAAAAAAAAAGATCAGATCTGTTTATTCTGATGCATCCTAGTTTTTGCAGAAATAAAGAACTGTTTACTATGAGAGCAAAAAATGCATGCATTTTAATTACTACACTATGTCTGCATCAACAGGCCACAGCAGACGCCTGCAGAATGATGGGAAACAGAGCATTTATGGATCTCATTTCAATGGATGAGTTTCACAAAGCTGCTGTTGAACCACAAGATGTGATTTGCATGAGAGACTATATGCAGGTGGGTGAAAATCACCCTTGAGACTATATTCACAGGCCAATTCATTGACGCAATCATGCTTTTGTGTTGCCTGTTCATCCTTTTCTCCCACTCAGTATTCCAGCCACTTGGATGAGCTTCCAGCATGTGTAGGGGGAAGGGAAAACGGATGGAGGTTCCTGTCTCTGAAGGTGCTGTCCCGGGACGTCATGCTCAGAGAGGGTGTAAAGCCAGGAACAAGAGGCAGGTTGAAGACAGCACTGCTGTTCAGACATCTCGCATCTCAGACATCTCATTTTGCTGGACAGCAGCTCTCACACAGGTATTCGGTTTCATCTTGCATTGGTCTCTATCAGACACCTCACTCTCCAGAAACAAACCAAATGCCAAAGTTAAGGAACAATATAAATAAAAAATGTGATTAAAGGAATAGTTCACCCAAAAATGAAAATTTGCTGAATTTACTCACTCTCAGGCCATCCAAGATGTATGAGTTTGTTTCTTCATCAGATTTGGAGAAATGTAGCATTGCATCAGTGTCTCAGCAATGGATGCTCTGCAGTGAATGGGTGCCGTCAGAATGAGAGTCCAAACAGCTGATAAAAACATCACAATAATCCACAAGTAATCCACACCACTCCAGTCCATCAGTTAATGCCTTGAGAAGTGAAAACTGCATGTTTGTAAGAAACAAATCCATCAATAATCCACAAGTAATCCACACCACTCCAGTCCATCAGTTAACGTCTTGTGAAGTGAAAACTGCATGTTTGTAAGAAACAAATCCATCATTCTGATGTTTTTATCAGCTGTTTGGACTCTCATTCTGACGGCACCCATTCACTGCAGAGGATCCATTGCTGAGCAAGTGATGGAATGCTGCATTTCTCCAAATCTGATGAAGAAACAAACTCATCTACATCTTGGATGTCCTGAGGGCGAGTACATTTTTGGGTGGACTGTTCCTCTATCATTATTCTGATGTTTCTTGCTCACAATACAGAGGTTCTCGGGTTTCTACACGACAATCTGCCCGCGCTCAAAACACTGCGGCCCGCAAGAGACGCCTCTACGGCCTGAGTGAGGCTGAAAGAGTACGTTTCATTATTATAACACTTTTAAGATGTAGTTTTAGCATCTGTCTAAACATGTAGTCTTCTTTGGTTTCCCATCACTTTTAATGCCAACTGCAGAAAAAAATGTAGTAACTCAGGCTGAAAGCTTTTTTGCTGTTACAATGAAACACCAGTACTATATAGACCAGCAATTTAAAAACAATAAAAAACAAACCAGACTAATACTTAAAGGTGTGATAATGCGACAGTTGAGAGGAACCCAAACTCTATTAGGTGACAGAAAACACTATTTAGATTAGAAAAATGACATGCTGATGAAATGAGATGCTGATTTATAGGAATTCTCTGTGGGACCAAATCCGGTTTGCCCTCCATTTCCAGATATTAGATGAACAGAAGCATATGGACAGCATTAACACACACGACATGAAGAAACTGAACGTGACGACTGAGAAACGGGACATCAAGATAGTTCTACCATCAGTTGAGACTGAAGAGTCTGAATGGGAGGAAGAGGCTGAGAAACTGTGCAACTGGTCAAAACAACTGAACATAGATGCTGTGGAAACACCCGAGTTCACTTAGATGGAGAAATAACATTTTGCACTAGTAGATGCACTGATTTAGGTTTGATTTTGTTTCCAGTAAACACAAAATGTAATGTTCATGTAAATGAAGAAACAATTTTTATAGCGTAGAGGTTCTGATTTAAGTATGCATTTCAGTATATACTACAAAACTAGTAGTGCATTTATTCTGAGAATTGTCAGATTTAATTTTTTAGCAGTGTTTGCAGAATGTACTTTTGGTTTGTGTTACAGTACTGGGTTAATGTGACTTTGATAAACAACATATGGTGACGGTATTTGAACATTTGGGCTCTTGCTTTATCTCACTCTCCAAAGACATCCATCCCAGGAACAAATGGATGTAATGTACTGTACTGTACAGTACTAACTTTCTACTCATTTTTGTAATTCTCATGAAAAACAAAATACACCACATGCAATCCAAGCATGTATGATCAGATGTTGTTTTGCATCATTTTATATAACAAACCTAATACACAACAGTTTGTGTGTTGCATTAATTTCAAGTCACATGTCTTGTTGCAGTCATTTGTGAATTAAAGGGACAAGCACATCCATTAATAATCTCGTCAGAATTATTAGTTTATGTCTTTCTGCCTCCATATTTATCTGTTTGCATATATGCACAGAAAACTAAACATGAAATGAAAATGCAAGGAAAAAATATTCTTATATTTAAAATAAGAAATGATTAGATAATAAAACAATGAACCTTTTTCACTAAATATGAGTTAACACTAAGAATAAATGGATAAAATAAAATAAAGGTCAGTTTTCCGGGTGTGATAATGTATTAAACAATCTAATGCGATGTCTATGTTTAAAATTTGTGAGTTTAATATTTTATTTAATACTTTAAGATGTGACTTGCAGTCGGAATGAGAAATTTGTACCACTCGCTCATTTTTGTGATTCTAATGAGAAAATAGTGATGGGAAAATTACTAAACATTAATCAAAAAGCCTCATGCAAGGACAATTAAATTACATTACACAGTAGATGTGTGATCCATCTTAACACACAAATTGTGTTAAATTTGACACAACATGTGTTGTCCCTGAGCACACTCACCACGTGTTAAAATTCTGCACAACATTGTGTCATTTTTAACACATCTCTTTTTGCAGTGTATATATATATATATATATATAAAACTTAAAATAATAGGCTACCCTTTTCTCACTAAATATGGGTTAAAACTAAAACTATTTTGATTTGGGATTAGAGATTGGAAAAAATGACTGAAAAAACACCTGGGATATCTCATAATTAATTACCAGACTTTCGGTTTTGATATTGTGGCAAATAAACTGATATGATTTTCATCTTTAAAAGTTGTGCGCTTAATATTTGATCTAATATATTAAGACTCGTGATGTGGGCATGAAAATGCTGTGTATGGGATGACCCAACCAGTGGGCGTTTTTAAGGGCCAAAACAATGAAAACATAAATCTTTGATATTAATACGTGGGTCAACGAGGTTTAACAGTGAGTTAAAAACATGCTTATGCATTTGGCTCGATCGTTTGCGCAGCAGCTCGTTGTTAGCTTCGCTTTCGCCGGGTGAATGTTGCTCTTCGGCCTTCCGCGTTTTCCTGCGGCTCTGCGCAGTGTCTGTCTGCGGAGCTCCGCCCTCCCTGCGCACTGCGCGGCCCGCCCAGCGCCCGCTAACTCCCGATCCAGCCCTGCCCGAGTCTGGGGGTATCCGACGGCCTGCCTGCCCGGGGAAAATCTGGAGGCCGCCCCGCGCGTTGATCTATGGTAAGCGCGCCGATGGCGACGAATCGGACCGCGCGGGTTTCATCCCACGCTACGCCAGCTTTATGCGCTGATATTGCACGTTTTGTTGCATTATGTTGCGGCTGGAGACGCGAGGCCTCGGATTGGCCGCGGGCCCCGGGCCTTACGCAGGCCGCGATCGGGCCTTGAGCACCGGGTTATTGTTTATAAATGCCCGTGCAGGAGCGCGAAACCAAACGCCCCTTTGTTTCAAAGCAAAGTACGCGTACTCGCATGCATGCATGCGTGCGTGGGAATAAAACGCGTGATGTATTATGGCTCAAAATGGCGCGCGCAGGCAGGTTTTGTTTTTAGTGAAAGGGGGGAAATTATGGTCACAAGGCGCCATGTTTATGTCCGGTTTCAGGTGCTGAAATGCGAGGAAACCTTCAGCGCTCGGGGGGTGGCAAGCTTCGGCGCGCACTGCTGCACACATTCTTCTCAAATGCATGAAGCTTCGAGTGTTTCCTGTGGTGCACGAAGTGCCAGCTTTATGCGCTGATATTGCACGTTTTGTTGCATTATGTTGCGGCTGGAGACGCGAGGCCTCGGATTGGCCGCGGGCCCCGGGCCTTACGCAGGCCGCGATCGGGCCTTGAGCACCGGGTTATTGTTTATAAATGCCCGTGCAGGAGCGCGAAACCAAACGCCCCTTTGTTTCAAAGCAAAGTACGCGTACTCGCATGCATGCATGCGTGCGTGGGAATAAAACGCGTGATGTATTATGGCTCAAAATGGCGCGCGCAGGCAGGTTTTGTTTTTAGTGAAAGGGGGGAAATTATGGTCACAAGGCGCCATGTTTATGTCCGGTTTCAGGTGCTGAAATGCGAGGAAACCTTCAGCGCTCGGGGGGTGGCAAGCTTCGGCGCGCACTGCTGCACACATTCTTCTCAAATGCATGAAGCTTCGAGTGTTTCCTGTGGTGCACGAAGCATTTAATGCGTTTTGCGTCGCGTTTAAAGATGCATTGCATCAGTTTATAAAATGCACTACCGCTTATTGGTGCTCATGTTTAATTTCCAGTCGCTCTTCTTGTCGCAGTCATTTGCTAATTAAAGGGACATGCACGTCCGTCAATAATTTGTTCATATTTATTAGTGCCATATTCATAAGTCTGTCTTTCTGCTTTCATATTTATCTGTCTCTCTATTTGCATGCATGCATGCACGCCTGTCTGTCTATATGCAATTCAAACCTATTGCATGTTTACATTGGCAACTAGCCTAGTTCTTGAAGCTGTCACATTGTTATGATCCCCCTTGTCCTAAAGCTATGAAAGATTTATTCTCTGTTTACTTTTTTATGAGAGAGTAATTCTGCTATAAATGATTGTTTAACTCTTTTCTTCTGTAGCAGACATTCCAGATTAATTGTTTGTGTTGTTGTGTTAGTTGTGCCGTGGCCAATGAAGAATAAAGACGATGAATGAGGAGGTGACGAGGCTTGCTCTCCGTTCCCAAGAGCCAAAGATTATACTGCATGGCTCAGGTAGTAGAGATGTTTGCTCAATCATTTGTCTGTCGCACTTAATGCCAATGTTGTGTTATTCTTATTCTAGAGAGTATTTGATTGGACAAAACCGTATTTTTGATCACAGTAAGGAAAAAAAGTAAAGTTTAAATTTGTATTATTGTATTGTATTATTGTAAAAATACTTATTTTATTTGTACTTTTAGGAATACACTAGCATACATATATGGCACATGAGGCATGTGAATATGAATAAATAATCAATTTAAATAAAAAGATAGCTTTTAATAATATAGAATTATTATTAAAATAAGATACTATACTAAAGATACTATTTTATGTCGTAAAAATTAATTATGGCATTTTATATAATTAAATGAAAATATTATAAATATAAATTTTTATGTATTATATAAAATGTATTATAACTAATATTTAATTATGAATAATAATTATTATTATTAAAATTACAAATATATAAAAATGTGGCAACACAACAAAAATATCTAAAAATATTAAATTACTCATATGTTTTTATAATATATAATTATAATCTATTTTAATGAAAAAATGCTTTTTACATAAAAAAGTTCTGTAATTATAATGAAAAATATAGAATGATAAAAATGAATTAATGTATTTATATATATATGTATTACAATTACAAATATATTAAATGCCACAACGCACAGCAAAATATATAAAAAATATTATATTTTTTATAATTTAATTATAACTAAAAATATGTGAATGCAAATGTAATGCTATTATGTGTCTTGTAAAAATGTATATAATTATAATTAAAAAAATATGTAATTATAAATATACATTTATATTTATTACTCCTTTAATTTATATTTACTTGTGTATAATAATAATAATTATTAACATAAAAAATATATGAAATGACACAATGGGCAACAAAATATATAAAAAATATTATTACTTTAAAATATATATTTTTATAATATAATCATAATAAATTATAATTAGAAATAAGCTTTGTATGATATATATATATATGTATATGTGTGTGTGTGTGTGTGTGTATATATAATTATGGATAATAATAATTATTATATAACATTCATGATGTATGTTTTTAGTATTGTCTAATGTTTTTATTACAGTGTCAAAAAGCCGATATGAAACAGTAGCTATATATCTTTATAGTTGAACTCTAGTGAGCAGTGGTCTGTTTGCATTGGTCATTATGAACTGTAGACGAGCGATCAAACTCATTTGAGCAGTTGAGCAGTAGTTTGGTGTGTTGTTGCAGACGAGGGAGGTGCGGAGGAAGAGGAGGAGTACGTGGTGGAGCTGCAGGAGACGGTGCTGGTGTCTGAGGTGGAGGGCGAGGCCGCGTCCGTCCAGGGCTTTTCCTCCGACGAGCTCGTCATCCAGGACGCAGTGGAGGACGTGGTTGCCGAGTACGTGCACTGCGACGACGACGAGGGCGTTGCCATGGAGACCTGCGTGATGTCACTGGAGGGTGAGGAGGAAGAGGAGGACGGCGTTGCCATGGCAGAGATGACGGAGGATGTTTTGGTGGCGGAGGGGAGGGACCCTGAGCACGACTCGGACGGCTGCGGAGATTACCTCATGATCTCCTGTAATTCACAAACTCATTCAGTCATTCTATCGCTTTATTAGTTCGTACGTGCACTGCGATGACGACGAGGGCGTTGCCGTGGAGACCTGTGTGATGTCACTGGAGGGTGAGGAGGAAGACGAGGACGGCGTTGCCATGGCAGAGATGACGGAGGATGTTTTGGTGGCGGAGGGGAGGGACCCTGAGCACGACTCGGACGGCTGCGGAGATTACCTCATGATCTCCTGTAATTCACAAACTCATTCAGTCATTCTATCGCTTTATTAGTTCAGTTGTTCATTTGTTTCAATTTACTATTTCAGTTTTAGTTATTTTAGTAAGTCAACTTAAACTCATTCCAGTTAGTTGCCAAGGCTACATTTCAAATTTTCATAAAATTTCTTTTTCATGTTTTTCATCTTTTTTTTTTTATATCTTCCCACACACAAAATATAAATAAATTATATATATATTTTTTTTTCTTTTATCATTGGTTATTTTTATAATATATAACATATTTTATAATATATATATTTATTTCTCTATTTATATATAATATATATATATATTTTACATTTCTATTTAGCTTTAATTTGTTTTAGTTTTAGTCATTTTAGTACCTCGGCCTAAACTAATTTCAGTTAGTTGCCAAAGCTATGTTTCTAATTTTCTAAGTTTTTATTTATTTATTTATTTTATTTGTTTTATATCTTCAGTTTTTCATAGAAATGATTTCGTTTACTTGTGTGCTTTTGTCATTGTTATTAGTTTTTATAATATTATATAATATAAAATTATATTATTTGTTTTTTTAGATTTCTCTTTAGCTTTAATTTATTTTATTTTTATTTTTAGTTGTAGTCATGGGTCTGATAAGTGAGGTGTGCTGTGATTGGCCAGCTATCCAGTGTGTTGTGATTGGCCGAATATATACTCCCCTCACATACTGTGATGCTGTGTCAGGCCGGAGCGATGATTCAAAAACATGAAAACCCATTATAAACGAGGCATTTGTTGCATCCAGTGGGGACATAATTACGGATTATAATGACTTATACTGTCTTTTTACGCGTTGCGTTGC